CACGTCAAATACCTACCCCTGAGGACCTCCATGCACGCTAGTCTTGTGGTGGATATCATTCCACGTGATCCGGTTTTGCAGTCCTGAAGTTACCAAGGTTCCAACAGTAAAAACCAATCGAGCATCAAAAGCTCTTCTCAAAAGCTGCAGGACCTCATTACCTTCTCGGTTATCAGGAAGATAAGCAGTACGTCCGGTGCCGTCGTACCTTCGGCCAGGGTTAGGATGTTCCCTGCCTTGAGTTCCCGATGGAAAATAGTGGTCGATGACGATTGTACCACAATCTGCAGATCAGTGACGTACAGAATTGAAAACAAAATTAGTCGTTGCTTGTGTTATTCTTACTATTGTTACGATAACACCGGAAAGTGTTACGCACAGAAAAGATCTAGGAGAAAAGTTACACATGCATTTAGCAAGTCAGAACCCACCCCAATGCTGGTCGTGCTGTACGTACAATACGGCGACAGTTGCCCAGATCTCTTCCAATTTTGACGACATACATACAGAACTGTTTAAGGCAGAGGCGGAGGGGGAGGGATGTTAAGCGGCTTGTTTACATGCGAGTCGAATACGTTTAAGCAGCATGAAGCTGTTTGTAGACAGGTCGATGGCAGAAATAGCGCCCTCTGCAGTATACTTCATCTTATATTGACCCATTACCCAGCAGTTGTAGACCCACAGCCAGGGTGCTTAATTATATTCAGACACTTTTGTTCAAATTGAAGAAAATACGGAGAAATATTTTGAAAGAAATATAAACGCTTGTCTACGACGTTTCGGCGTCGCCATTAACAAGTGCAGAACCGCACAGTTTAAAACATCCACAAGCTTCGCGTACACTGGAAAAGTTGAAAATTTACGGAGTATGTAAATAACATGTAATTAACATGTAAATAATCAAAAAAAGACTGTAAAGAATAATTTACATGATTTTTCCCCTTTTACATGTTTTGGAGGTTTCATGCAAAAAACATGTAAATATTTCAAGTGAAAATAGCCTATAAATTTCTTGTGATTCAATCTGGGAACCCGTAAATAACATGTAAATTTAATACAGGGAGGTTGCCAAAATACTGTAAATAACATGTAAA